TGCTCTAAAACATATTAATAACGGAAGTGCTCACGGTTTTATACGCCATGCCACAGTTTTATACGCCTTGGTGTTCTGGAGGCACATTTTGCAAGTGCTTTATCTCAGAGAATTAACTACTAAATTAAACTGCTCAACCTAAAAGATTTCTATGAGTGCTTTCCTGAAACTTTAATGGCTTAGTGGGCGTCTGGTGACACCAACTTTAAAAAATTTTCCAGACTAAAATTATCTTAGTAATACCGTGGTGCAGAACTTCAAAGGTTTAATGCTCATTTTATCTATGCATGGGAGAGACTTAGAACATTTTATTAGGAATGGAAGAGTCCGGGTTCTGTCTGATTTTTTCCGTAGATAAGTGGGATGTCTTTTTTATCAGGAATTTTTCTGGTTTGGAATGGAGACGTGGTTAATTACGTCATTTCTGGTCCTGATTTTGAGAGCATGGACCTGCCCTTAATTGGCAACATAGACTATTGGCACTCTAGGTCTATAACTCTTCTCAATACTAATCAAAAAGACACAATTTTTATTTATAGAGCATTTACTGCAGGTTATGCAGCACATCCATTTCCTCTCATTCCTCTAAAACCAATCAGTGAATGAGGCAGGTTGTGCACACCAGCCCCCTGAGAGCTGCTGTAATGAAGCAGGCTTTGCTGCATCTCTATGGAAAAACTCTGAGGAAGCGCCTGAGCTTCACAGTGGGGTGGTGGGGAGACCAGCGTGTTAGAATGCAGTTCGCTGGAATTCAGCCTGCCCTCTCCATGGACAGCCCACAGGAGTCAGTCCTCGGCCAAGCCCTTTCCGTGCCAGAAGCCTACAGCTCTGACTTCTATGGCTGATTGTGTTTTCCTTCTTGCTCATCCTGCTTGGAAGCTCAAAGCCATGTCTGTGAATGACAGAAAGCAGACTTACATAACTCTTTGATGGTAATTAGTAACCTAGTTTCTTAAAAAAAAACTTATTGAGTTAAAACACACAACATAAAATAAGCTTTTTTTTTTTGTCTTTTTCCTTTTTATTGATACCGGGGATTGAACTAATGACTGCCTGCTTGCAAGCCAGGTGCTTATGCTGCTGAGCTAAATCTCCAGCCCCAAAATAAGCTTTTATTTTACTTTTTTTTTTTTTTTTGCCTTTTTGAGTCAGGGTTTCCTTATGAAGTTCAAGCTGCTCGTGAACTCATATTATAACCCAGGCTGGCCTCAGACTCACAGTGATCCTCTTGTTTTGGCCTTCTGAGTGCTGAGATTATAGATATGTGCCACAACCCCTGGCCTTTTCTTTTACTTATTACTTTTTTTGGCAATGCTGAGGTTCAAATTCCAGGACCTCAATGTACGTACTCTACCACGAGCTACATACTGAGCCCCAAAATCAATCATTTCAAAACGAACAATTTGGTGTCATTTAGTACATTTAGTGTGATGCATCCTCCACTATTTAATTCCAAAGCATTTCCATTTCACCAGGAATTATGTTACTTCTATTTTTTCATCCATTTTTCCTTTGATTCTTTGCAATAAAACCATCTTGTATCATGTGAGTTTTTGCAAATCACTACAAATCTTTTTAAAAATGAGGTAGGATTGTAATAAACATATAAAAAAAACCTAAAAGGGGTCCAACAGTGTAAGCATCTGAGGAGGAGGAGTTAGAGAATGTGACAACCAATGGGGTTTTGTGTGGAAGCTAAATGAAGAAGGACTTTCAAGAAGACAGAAGTAAAAAAATGTCAAATCAAATGAAGATGGAAATGATTCTGCCAATTAATTAGCTAGGAATCTATTAATTATCTATGACTTTTGTGAAAATCAGGGCTCTGCAACATGGGTTATAGGGAAGGGTGAGAATTCTAGACTATTTTTAAAAATTGACAGAATAGATGCCAGCCCTTTCCTGTAAGCTGGCACCATGTACAGGCTGCCGGGAGGAGAACCAGCCACCAGCCCTTTCCTATGAGTTGGTACCACGCCTTGGCCGCAGAGAGGAAAAGCAGATGAGAGCCCTTTCTGGTGTGCAGACTGTGAGACAGAAAGAGCCAAGTCCCTACTGCAACCATAAGCGACTGGCTTATTTAGAGAAACACAGGCTGAGATGATAACTATTGAAGTAAAATATGACTTAATGCTTGCAGTGTTTAGGGTTTCATTGACTTTACAAGCCTAATGCTATCTAGAGGATAACAATATACAGCATAGCAAGGGGGGATCTCCTTCTGAATGTGATTGCCATTGTTAATTCTTTAATATCTTGTTTTAAAGACCTGTATCATTTTCATTGTTTTGTTTTGTTTGGTTTTATTCTGTTTTGGCTTGTTTGAGTTTCTTATATATGAGGTCATGGGCAACTATTTCAAAGATAACAAATTAAATTATGGTAGCCATTTTGGATTTACTATTATCTTGTTTCGAAGTCCTGTGTTGTGTTCATTGTTTGTTTTTATTGGTTGTATTCTGTTTTGTTTGGTTGAATTTTACTATGTCTGATGGCATGGGCAGCTATTTTGAAGACAGGGAAAGACATGCTAGCCATTGTTGATTTCATATTGTTTTGAAATCCTGTATCACTTATATTGTTTTGTTTTGATTGGCTCTATTTTGTTTTATTTTGCTTGGTTTCATTCTCTTCAAAAATAAATTATTGGGGGCAGGGGATTTAGTTTAGTGGCTCAAGCACTTGTCTGGGAAGTGTACGGTAGTGAGTTTGAGTTGTGGTCCAAAAAACAAAAAACAAAAAAGAAGTTATTTAAAAATGTGCATAGTAGCAAAAATAGAGAAGAGACTGTGATTTGTGGGTGTTTTTAATTGTTAGTTTTAACTAAAAACTTTTTATGTCTTTATGAGACAGAGTTTCACTATGCAGTTCAGGCTGGCCTCAAAACTCACAGCTTTCCAAGTGCTGGGATTACAGGCTTATGCCACCATGGCCTTAAGGATATTTTTTAAAAGGATGAGGCAATTAAATCAAATGTGATACATAGAGACAACATGAATCATGGCTTTGGTTCAGTGACCATCTCTGGGGTGACCTTGAGCAAGTTATACCCAAGTTCCAGCCTTGGTGTTCCCCCTGTGAAACAGTGCTTTATTGAACTATGTCTGCACTTCCTTCCAGAGTGTTCTGTTGCATATTCATAACAGGAGAAATGTGTAAGTAAAATAAGAACAGCAAAAGCAATTTTAAAATATAATAATGCTTTGTTATAGAGACACTATCATTTACCAATTTTATGATAAAATGTTATGCTATCAAAATGGAAGGAAAGAATCCAGTGAGCATTTAATTTGACACATTTTACTAAAAAGTTTGTTTCCTTCTTTCCAACCAACTCTCAAATGATTTTGAAGTCAAAGTAATGGGTGGTGTGGATTGTGGTTGGTTATAAATGTGTTAAAATCCTTTGTACTGGGGGCTGGGGGTTTAGCTCAGCGGCATAAGTGCCTGCCTTGAAAACAGGCAGTTGTGAGTTCGATCCCCACTATTGATAAAAAGGAAAAAGATAAAAAAATCCTTTGTACTACTTCCACTGGGAGAGAAAGGTCTAAGATTTCTACCCAGAGTCTAGAAGGGCTCTGTGGTCACTGAACCATCAGAGTTGAGGAAGGGCTGGTGTTTCTGGGCTATAAGGATCTGAGAACTGACCCGTTTAGCCTAGCTGTCATGCAGCGTGGCAGCCCAAGTAGCCCTATGGAGAGGTCCCCTAGAGGAAGAACCGAGGCTCTCACCAGGAATCCTGGCTGAGCGCACATCTGGGTCAGGGAGGTGAAACATGTTGAGAACTGTATCTTCAATATCAGCTGAGAAATCCAGCAGCACACAGAGAACAACTGTCCAATTTTCAGGAAAAAAATCAGTGACTATTTGTTGCTATTAACCTTAAGAATGATACGTAATGCATGACAAATAGCTGGGTCGTTAACATTTATTCTATGGCAATAAATCAACTTGTATATGGGGGACTGCTCTCAGGACATGTATGTACCCCCGAAAAACCATGTGTTCTATGACATTGCCTATGACGTTTGTGAAGAGAATAGGGTTGAGGAAATATTTTGTAGTGTGCCCTAACCCAAACAGTAATAGTCCTTTAAAATTATCAGCCATAATGAATCTCTACAGGCACTTGCACTCAGAATCACGGATGTTTTCTACCATTCAGCCACCCCCTCAAACCCACATGTCTTAATGTCTCGCAAAGCATGCTTTTTAAACTGAGACGGTTCGAACTTATTGCCTCCGAGAAGCCCTGCCCTCTGAGTCTGTAGCCTGTGCTATGGACCGGGCCTTATAACCTGCCTTGTCCTAGGCAAGACAGCTGCTCGGGGTGGGCTAGGGTACTGTTTAGGTTTCAGCTTCCTTTACCAGACTCATGAGGAAGAGGCCATAGGTCCTCAACATGGGGCTGGGAGAGGACCTGAGGAAGGACCCTGGGGATGTCCTCTTCCTTAGAAGGGGGCTGCTCACCCATGCACAGCTCTTCTGTTGGAAATGCTGGTGTGGCCAATCTTCTTGTGTGACTTTGTCACTTGTCTCTGAGGAGAGTGGCAGTGGGATTCCTCAAAGAGAACATTGTCCAGAGGAACTAATCAAGAAGGTGTGGTAGAGTACTGCTGTGCCACGGAGGAGGATAAACTTGAGTTGTATGAAGGAGGTCATAATGTTATATGAGCTAAATCAGACACACAAGCTTCAGTGTTGCATAACTCCCTTATACAAGAAATCCAAAGTGTAACTTGAAGAGAAAAATAAAAGATAATAGGAGAAAGGGAGACTACTCTTTTGCAAATGGGAAGGGAAAGAAGAAAAGGGTCTTGAAGTGGAGGGAAGCAGGAGGGAGAGAAGGGGAGTACAAAGAATTAGGGTGTGTTAGTACGTGTACCCGCTCCCCATGATGAATGTAATCATGTACTGCAAGCATTTACTAGTAAAATGTGAGCAAGTAACTTAAAAGAGAACATTGTCATCTACCTCTGACTGCATGGGAAGAAACTTACCAAGTGGATCATGTCCTTTTCTGCTCATGGTCCCAAGCTTGGATTCACTAAAAGCAGCTTCTGGACTAAAAGTGGCCACCTGAAGAATGAATTTGGAGAGTCAGATGTTGACCAGGCATCCACATGAGAATGGATGCACTCTATATTTTTAAAACATTTCATTGACATTTGAGAAAATCATTTTGAGTTGGCATGAATTTACCAGGGAGGAAACTTCTGATTTAAAAATACCATGAAGGGTGCCTGTGTGGATACAGTGAGCTGCTACATGAGGCCTTGCTTGCTGGCTTAGCCAGATGTGACTGACAGCTACAATGTCCTGGATTGCATCAGTCGTGCTTTGATTTAGGAATTCTTGCATTGCAAAGGAGTAGGGTTTACCTACTTAGGGGCCCCCCTCCCCAACTTCCGACATAAGTTAAATAAACATAGCTTTAAATTAAAAATAAAAATCTCTTGCATTATGTTTAGTTTCTAAGATATTATTTCATGTTTTCCATTTTAAATAAATAAATATGTAGGCAAGATCTTAAAAGTAAATTTATATTTTTATATTTATGTTCGTTTCTGAAAGTCAAAGTTGAATGATATATTCTGCTTCATTCTTTTTAGTTTATAAAAACTTGCTTTTATAAAAGAAAAGGAAGCACTATCTGACAGTAGTTAAAACAAAAGTCTAACTAAATTCAGGGAAACTTTGAATTTTAGGACATTTGAAATGCAAGTTGAATTATGGTGTATTAATATCATTTTTGGAAGTAGGTTAAGCCAGCACAGCTTGTAAACATAGATAAAAATGATAACATTGCAAAGAAAATTTTCCTTACTCAGCCTTTATGCTGAATAAGGAAATGCAGGCTTTTTAGTGCAGGTTTTTGGGGCTTTGTTCCCATTTGAACCACAGGACTGAAACTGGTTTTACCTTTGCAATGCTGGTTAAGGGCAGAGGCAGCCTTGTGTCTGTTCCAGAGACTGGTGAGGAACCAAAAAATTCTGTGGAGCAAATCACAGGGTTTGGGTGTTTATTTTCTTTTGTGTTTGGATCAATAAAGCAACCAGGGTTAAAAAACATGACAATAACCAATGCTTAAGCAATAGTACAACGGATTATTAAGAAATCAGCATTACACAAACAAATGGCCATTAATCTGAAGGGTGCATTGAAGGGCAGACACAAGGGTTGTATCTTGCATGTTTGTGTGATGAGAATGAAGCGATGGATATACTAATGTTCCTGATTTGATCACTACATAATACAGACACGAGTCAAATCGGCACATTATACCTCATGAAAATGCATAATGATTGTGTCAAATAAATAGTAAGAGATAAAAAGAACAATTATTAAGGTAGATTTTTAGGATGGTCAGTTCAACTCTTACAGATCTGGACCAAACAGAGAGATTAGCTGCTCCAGTGGGGACAAAAATATGATTAAGTTGTTGAAGAAAGGAATTAGTGCAGGTAGCTAAGTTAAGTAGAGATTGACAGGCATTGAGAAAGGGACTGGACCCAAGACAGAGTCAGAACAGAGATGAGGTCAGCCAGGCCTGTGGTCAAGCGCTGAGTTGGTAGAAATTAGGACCCAGAAGGAGGTACAGTAACTAAGCCTGCAAACCTCCCCAGAGAGAACAGCAGCTCAAAGCTGTGGTGTGACCAGCACTACCTGGTCCAATAAGCCTGTGCAAAGTAATAATTATAGAGAAACAATGTAACAGACATGCAGAGGCACGATGATGGCATCTGCGGCTCATTCCTCCCTTCCTGAGATGCCTTTATTCTCAGTGCTGGGCACCTGTTCCTACCGTTAACCTCAAGACCTTTCCTGCTCTTAGTCCTCAGGTCCTTTCTTTGGAGCCATGAGATGCAATTTGGCACATCTAACAAGTTGGGAGCCACTTCCCTATAACAAAGTGGTTAGTGTTAGGCATGGGAATTAAAGAATATTTGCAGAATTCTATTTCCATCCTAAAGTCTGCTTTTCAGAACACCCTAGAAGGCTCAAGGGAGAGACAAACCCAGAGAGTCAGTCTCTGAGATGAGGCTGAAGGCCATCTTCTCTGAACTTGGAGCTCTTCTCACTCATTCATCTTGTCCCAAAACTCCTTTGTGTGGTTTTCGTGTTAAGAATCTCTAAACCAGAAAAACAGAACTGGCAAAGAATAAATCTGGGCAAAATGGTATTTTCATTGTTTAGTTATTGTCTTGTCCGCTGAACCTGCTGGGCAGCTCTAGGCTGCTGAGCACCTCCAGGTACCTTCTGGGATCCTGAACATGTCTTATTATCTAGTTGCTCACTTTAGATCCAGTCTCCTCTCCTGCCTCAGTTAAATTCTGCTTCTGGAGATTGACTTATACTGACTGTCTCAATGGTCCCTTGTTTTTTATTTTAGGGATGGCTTGGAGCGTTAGGCAATGTTTAAGTTTAGAGGTAGTAATGAGATCTTGCTGCTTCTAACCCTAGAGAACTCTCTTTTCCTTTGGGTACATGAAAACTTTTATAAATAGTACTCTTATCAAATTGTCCTACATGATTCTAATTTAAATAGTCTGTTTCCTGTAAGACCCTAATTTCCCACATAAGAAACACAGGGTAGGTAACGCCAGGGAACGAAAATACCTGTGGGTTCTTCTCTCTCCATGACCATGGTTGATTTGGAATGGAGTGAAAAACTTGGACTCTCCTATAAGAATGGTTGGTCCAAAGTAGTCACAAATAAGATGCAGGAGAGAGTAAGGATAGACAGAAATGGTACCATGTTTAATGTGTCTGTCACAGTAACGATCGACTTTACAAGGCCTACATTAAAATGAAAGTTTCTGATACATTTACAGCTTCTAGCCTCTCTTGGCAGAATTTGGATAAATGTAGAACTATGCAATCACCAACCGTCAGTGAACTGAATTGTCCCCATGTCCAAAGATTGTTCTTCCTCTAGAACTCTTCTGATCAGTTTTTTGAAATTGATAGTCGTGAGATCAATTTCTGGTTGCTTGTCCTCCTCCATTGTTCCTCGGTGGACAACTTCGCTTTCAATCTTGTTAGACTCGAAAGACAGGTGGTCACTTGGGGGGCTGTTTGCTGCTGCATTGTCTCTCGTAAAGATGGCCATAAGTCTCATTTCTGTGGAGCTGGAAATATAGACAGCAGGAGACACATTCCATCCAAAGCCTTGGTACAGTCCGCTAGTGAGAATTACTACATCACTCTAGTGTTCAGGACAGCTTCAGCCTCTCCTTTGATGGGTTCTTAAACCAATTTTTACCAGAAAATTGAAGCATGGAAAAAGAATTGATGTATATTTTAGTTCTAAACTAGAATTTGAGCAAAGGGGTTAAGTCTAGCTTGAAGAGAAATTACAAAATGAATCTATTTATTTTTACTTTAGGGCTTTTAGAAAAAATGTTAATTGTCCAATGCAATTTGACCAAAATTTTTGGATGTCTTCAAAATCATGCAGTACCAATTGGGAAGAAGGATAAATTGTCCTTTCCTGTACCAAGAGCCTTGTTATTAAGGTCTATCAAAAATGATAGGCTATGCATGATGTAAACAAGTCAAAGCTTCAATTCTTAAGGACAATTTTTCCCCAAGAAGTATTTTTTAAATTAAAAACCCTCTAAATAAAATAATCAAAAGGAAAAAAATTGCAAGGGAAATATGAGAAAGGAGGAAAGAAGGTAGCCCATGATTACCTAGATTTATTGTTGTATTTATTAATACAGTGCCATTTTGTATAAGAAAATGAAAAAGATTCTCTACAGCTCTGTTCTCAAGAACTCAGATTTTACTTTTGGTTCATGCTATAAATCCACAAAAAAGGGTGCAGAAGTGTTTAAAGGCCACAGGAACTGATAAGGTGTATTTCTGGCAGTTCTTCAGACCACACAATCAGTCAGAGTCTACAGTTCATTATTTCACTAGTCAATTACAGGAGCCAAAGCTGGAGTCTTATTACAGAGCTTGCCAAGGTTTCGTGGGCCCTTTTTCCACTTCAGACTGATGACCTCGGAACCAGGAGCAAATTAGTTTCTCTGCTTTACTGTAGATTTAGGTTAATTGCATGAGGAACATGTGGCACAATTCAGGAAGACACTTCCCGTTATAAACAACATTTAAGAAATAGTTACATTTGTTTGGATCAAAGACATGTATCTTCATGTTTCTTTTTTCCTAATTAGATATTGAGCTTTATAGAATCCTTTTCATCTGATCAAGTCAATATTTATCTGCTTGTCTCATGTAGTGAACTTGAATGGAGAGTTTTTCTCATTGCTAAGTAATTACTTCAGTTAAATAAGAATCATTAAGAAGTTATTGGCTTATCCAGACATTAAGTGTAAAAATTATTTGTACAAAATCAGCATCTAAATTTGTGAAGGAAAACATACAGTATTTCAAAAATTTAAAAAATGTCCAAATTACCCATCTCTTTCTTTCCTTGGTCTTCAATTCATCATGCACAGTGGAAACATGCAAGGGAGAAAGAATTCTTGTGACATTTATTAAGACATTCACTGAATTATTTTATCTACAAAAACTACTCCTTGAATCATCTCTTATATTTGCTCAGAGTTTTGAAGAAAACATACCACCATCTGAATTTGGATGGAAATTTTGAGTCATGTGAATTTTAAGATGTACACATTATGTAACATTTTGGATTAGAACTAAACCTTAGTCCAGAAATTCATACGCATTTATGGTCTTCCCAAACTCATTGATTTCATCATGTTACTTCATATTTTTTTTGGTACTGGGGATTGAACTCACAACCTTGCACATGTCAGGCAGGCGCTTGTGCCACAGAGCTAAATCCCTGGCCCCCATATTACTTCCTAACAAGGCTGCAAACATATCCCATACAGCTCACAGTTTGGATGATGCTGTAGTCAAGAAGATACCAGAGAATATTCTTACATTTCTGTATTTACATTTTCATAATTATATTTTCACCTGTGGAATCGCATTTAATAATTGGCTTATTCCTATAGGCAATTTATCTAAGTCAGCCTTTAGAATTTAGCTTTTTGTTGACTGATAATTTTTTTGAATAGCTTTAATTAGTAAACTGAAGAATCGGTCCCATTCACCATATAGACAGCTTGGAAGAAAAGTCTGTTCCCTAAGAGGACCTTGCAGTTGATTCCTATGTAATCATTTCAGGAACACAAACTCCACTTCACAGACATGGAAACAGGCAGAGAGAGAAGGTGTCTCCTGGAAAATGACAGATGTAGACTTCAATACCTGGACTACGTGCCCTCAAGCCAGAGCTCATTTTGCCCAACCTGCTGGTTCCTGTGCAAAGGCCCTTAGGCCACTGAACTGATGGACACATTTTGGAATATATATGGATTTATTTTATAAGTTATGTTCAGTTTCTACTTATATTTCAAATGGTAGTTTCCAACCAAGCTTTACCTATGTGACAGGATTAGTGGCATTTGTTTCTGAATTTGCCTGGTGTTCAGCCTGGGAGGGAACAGGACTGAAATGCATGCACTATGTCCGTGCTGCTCCCTTCTGTCTGTGGAGGCCAGGGAGGGCTCAGGGCTGTAACTAGAGCCCTCCACGCTACCAGTCAGACATCGATCCAAGCATGCCCCTTGCTCGTTTTCAGCAATAGCTCATAATCCATGAAGCTCAGGAGAGAGGCCAGTACCCTGGGTTAAGTCCCTCGCCAGGCTAATTAAAAATGTTGCTTGAATAAAGTATGATTACATAAACAAATGATGTATTGGAGCGACACAGTTTGTCATACACCCATGATGCCATTTTCACAATCACGACAGGGTCTGTTTACTCCCAGAGCTTTATCCTGCTCCCTGGGGATCCTTTAGGAACGTTAACCTCTCTGTACCTCACCCTCTTTTAAGCAACTATTAATCTGTTTTTCCCTCCCTGGGTTAGTTTGTGTTTTCTAGAATTTAATATAAGTGAAACCATAATGTATTTTTGTCTGTTTTCTTTCACACAATATATTTATTGTGAGAGATATCATGCTGTGTATTCCAATACTTCATTTGATAAGGAGTCTAGACTAGAATACACTACAATCGTCTACTGCCCTGTTGATGGGTATTTTGATTTTTTCTGTTCTTGGCTATTACAAATGAAGTTGCTGTGGACATTTGTGCACAAGTCTTGGAAAGAGTATACCCTCCAACTAGATTAATTACTAGTAGTTTCCCATATTTTATTGTAAGGGATAAAGCAGTGTTTAAAGTGGACCATTTACAGCTCGTTCTTAATAATAGATGTCCTAACTCCTTTTTAGCTGTATCGAGAGAATTGTATGAGGTCTCTGATGCTAAAGTACTTGTGAAATTGTAAGTCTTTTTTTTTTTTTTTTTTTTTTTACAAAGGACAAGATCAGGAGTCATAGGAATTCCAGTCTTCCACAGAAATCTGGCCTCACAAGAAGGAAATTTCCTGCGTCATGAGTTTACTTTACAATATCCTGAGCATTGTTATTAATGACACATATTTTTTCTGCTCACAAGCACATCATTTGTTGCATTCAGGGGCCAAACTGTTTTCTAGGGGGCTGATATAATGAAAAATCATTGAGGAAATGTGATCAAACTTATTTTGTAAGCATCTTTGAGAGAAATAGGTATAAATCATTGCAAAGATAAACATGAGAAAAATCCATCTTTTAGGGATATATATTTAAAAGTTTTATCTTAGAAAATTTTATCAACTAATGTTTTGCTGTTTCTTCTGAAATAGATTTTTAAAATTAGTTTTTCACTGATTAAAACAGGATGATAATGTGCCTTTGAGCCTGTCCCCAAACTCATCCCATCATTTCCTTCAGGTTTAAATTAAAAATTTGTTCAACCACAGTGGTTTATTCAGAAGACCTTGCCATTTATGCAACATTTTTTCCTATCACCTTGTATTTTCTCCTAATCCATCTGTTTTCACATGGAATACTGCAGAACAGTATCCTGACATAAAGCAACGTGAGTTTGGTTTGGTACATATTAAGACTTCCATTTTTATGACACCCACTTTGCAGCGTTTCCTTCCCCTGGAGTTCCAATGGTCAGAGGGGCTGGCCCCTGCTGACCCCTCTCTCCAGCCAGCTCTTTCCCAGGCCTGGGCATCTCCTTGCTATGAGATGCCAGGAACAGAAGGAGCTGGCTGTCCCTAATTCCCATACCTGTTCTGGCACAAAATCCCTTCTTGCTTCAACCAGTGCTCATATTTACCCTGTAGCACATTTTCAAAAAGTACTGTCTTATGACCTGCCTATAAAGGATTGGAATGAGAATTTTAAAAAGATGCAAAAATTCTTGCTGAAACCCAAGTACTGAGATGCTAATGGCCATAGGCCTGCCTGCATGTGCCAAAGCCATGGGAACACGGTCTAACCTTGCTCTTGCAAGGCACACTTTTATGATTTCACTTCTTTTATTTAAGATCTTAATTTAATAATTTGGAGTGGTCATACATCACTATGGTTCAGATTAAAATAATATAAAAGATATATTTTGAGAAGTCACCCATCTACCCCTGTCCGCCTTGTTCCTCCAACCCTGCTACTCCTATAGAAACTCCTTTTTGTTAGTTTTGTTAGTTTTTGTTAGTTGGGTAACGTAGTTTGCTAAAATGGTGATGATATTTAGCCTTTGATAGGAAACCAGGCAATCTGACACCAATGCATTCATTGCTACTTTTTTGGTCTCTCTCTACTGAGGTATTTTTCCAAGAGGTTGGTCAATAACATTGGCAAGGACAGCTGATGAGCTCTCTGTGGAGGGCAGTATTTCTGACTCCCAGAAGGAGCAGTGTAACTCCTGAGCAGCCCCTTAAAAATCACCCAGAGTCATGTTCTAATTAGACAGTTTCTTTATCTGAAATGTATTCAGCCTCCAGGACTTGGCAAGAGCTAAACAACAGGGAAAAGGACCTTATAATACTCATGAAACTGCTTTTAAAAGAAGATGGGAAGAAAGTAATTTAAAAATTGAAAAGAGTCTGAGTCTTTTACTTACCTAAATCCTAACACATGGAGTTCTTTGAATCCTGCGAGTTTCTTAAATACCTTTTGTATCTGCAGAGAGAAAGAAATTTATGGAATAGCCTTTGGTTCTACTGGGTCAGATCTTATCTAACTAAAAAAAGTCTAAACATTTCTGAGGAAAAAAGGAAAAGGAAAAAAGAAAATGGAACTTTTTGTTCTCAGTTATTTGTGAAACCTAGAGGAGAGAATTTTGCTGTTTATTTAAAGCCATAGTTTGGTGACTGTGGCCTGCGCAAGGCTTACTTTGCATAAAATATGAAGTGATTAAAGGTGGTATTTGATGAAACATTTTTTGGTTACAGGGTTTTCTTTTACACAGAGAAGTATGATATTTTGTAACTATAATATTTTTTGAATTGAGTTATACATTTTGGAAAATATCTACATTAGAGGTACTAATACATTCAATATGGCAACTGTACCTAAATAAGAGGGTAGAAAGAGATTCTAATATAATAGACTGTGCTTGTTCTTAGACTTGAGTGAATCTTGAAATTTTTTAGATTTGTCCCTATTAATGAGGGCTGTTCTGGAAGTACCTTGCAAGTGCTCTACCCAATTACTTCCCAACCCACGATAGCCTCGCTTCTGCCCGGGGCTCCGCAGGGTGGAAAGTTCTTTCCAAGTCATTGGCTTTTGGTTTTCCCCAAAGCCAGTGGTGTTTTCCATTCTTCTCTCACAGAGTCCTGCTCTTTCCTGGCTCCTCTCCCATTTCTCTCACCATTCTCCCAGTCTTCTTTGCTCTATCTTATTCCTGTCCTTACTGTCTAAATACAAGGAGTCTGAAGCTTCCCACGCTCCGGCTCCTTGCGTCCTCTTCCTCTTAGTCATCCTCTGCAGGCCAGCACTGCCCAACCCAGCTTTCTGAAGGGGAGCTGGAAGGAAGAGAGGTCACTTGGAAGGAAGAGCCACTGAAGAGTGAAGCCTGGGTACAGGGAAAAGAGGGAGGAAGGTGAAGCTACACAGGCGAGCAGGAGCTGGCCTCTGTCTCCCCCTCCATTCCTCTCTTTCAGAGAGTCTCCTCTGTCTCCATGACTTTACTGATTGCCTGATATAGAGCCCTGAATTCTCCACACAAAAATAACAATGTTTTCTACTAACTAGCCCTTTCCAGGCCAGGGTCATTCTCTTTCTCCCAGATTTGCCTTTCCTCCTGGCCTGTCTCAGTCAAGGTCAGGAGTACCTGTGGTCTTTGTGCAAGAGGGCAAAACATCCCGAGATACCTTCTTTCTAGGACCCTCACATGCAGCTATCAACTGTTTGCTGGAACCCTGTGAAGTGTCCTGCCTCCACCACATTCTGCTTATTTCCATGGTTGGTGTATCTTCTTTATCTTCTCTCCTGCACTGCTGAAATGGGTTGCTTGGTGTAATGTTGGTGGGGTAGGAGTGGGGGATTAATCATTCTACATCTGTTGCTTATCATTAAAAATCCATTGGTCTGCTTATTCAGTAAATCCAGTTCTTTAGAAAGGCATTGAAGACCTTCCCGATTCTGCATCCCCCATCAGCTATCTTGACATTTACTCTTCCTGCCACTGTCATTCCTTCGGCCTATAGAGTGTCACTGCACTGACCCCATCCAACTCCCACATACAACCTGCACTTTTATTTCTTTAAGGCCCTGTAGATCTCTTTGCCCTAGCCCAAGATACAATAGGGATCAACATTTCTCCCATTGATTTCTTCCTTTTCCCACACCCATTTTCTAAGCTTATTGGAAATCATGTCTATTGAAAAGTGTTTTCTAGAGCCCTGTCATCAGATGCAATTGTTTTCCTTCTCTGCTTCTCTAGATCTGGTTATGGGACATTGCACAAAGATCTGCAAAAGGCACGCCCATTTCCTTTGCAGAGAACATGCTCGTTGATTCAGGGGAACATGTCTTGCTCATCTGTCTATCTCTCCCTGCTCTTATGATCCAGGAGACCGTTATTCATATTGTAGGAACTCTGCATATGCTGTGTGAATTGAGAGCGTCTCTTTATTCTCATGCGTATCAACATGCCACTGTGTTGTCACTGTATCTAAAATCACTGCTGATGTCACTGTTGGTGCCAAAGCACAGATCTTTGATGTACAGATAATCCCCAAATCACTCATATTGGGTTTTGGATTCTGCATCATGAAATTTTTTTCTCCCAGCCAGACTGATTTACCTTCTAATTATATTTTCTTGTGCCAATATTAAAAATAGCTTTCATTTCCTGAGCATGCAGGAACTGCAGGGGTGAGGGGAGCTTAGCGCTGGGTGATGAGATAGCAGTATAGCCTTATCTTTCAATATTGGTTCCATTACTTTCTAGCTGCAAGACTTAGAGCTCATTGCTTCATGTCTCTGGATCTCGGTGTCTTCAACCAGAATGGGATCATGGTGCCTGTGCCATAAGGTGGCTGGAAGGAGTCACTAAGAAGTGACAAGTGTCTGGTTCACATCTGGCAGAGAGTCAGTAATATCCTACTATTTATTGGCTCATTCTCTACAGGATTACTTGATCCTGGAGGGCTCAGTTTTCTCTTATTCCTCCTGACCCCATGACTGCACACCGTGAAACGTGACCATGGCAGAGGCCACCACCTGTCAATTGTTTTTAAATGAATGGGGAGGACAAGATGAGGGTCACTCCAGAGTTAGAGGCAGGGAGCGTGGGTAATAAATTTGTGTGCCTCTACTCTGCCCCTGGGTTTAACAGAGAAGAACTAGAAGCTGGGCTCTGCCAGGCTGGTCTGTATCATGGAGCCAGCAGGAATGGGCTGTGTATGTACTTCAGATCTGCTTGGCTTCCTGGAATGAGCAGGAGTGGGCCACCGGGAACCTCCCTGGTGTTCCAACAACAGCACCAGGGACAGAAGGGTTAAGTGTGAACTGCAGCGTGTGAGGAGGTGATTCAGGTTCAGAATCATCCCTTCTTCAGAGATTCCAGTGTCCATGTGGAAACAGTCAGCCAGGCAGGTACCCGCCTCTGTAGAGGCTGTGGCTGCAGTGTGGACAAGGGGTCAGTACATCCTCCTAGCTGCGCCCACAGCACTTGCTCTGGTGAAAGGGATTTATCGTTTGTGTCCATGCCCTCTTTGTAAACTTGTCTGTGATTGATTAAGAGTCAGTTCCTCTTAGGAGGGTGTAGATAGACAGTGTCGAGGGAGAAGATGACAAAAGCCTTCCATTAATTCTGCTAAATAATCTCCTGGGGGATCTTCTAATCGTGAAGCACTAACTACTAAATTGCTAATTAAGTGCCCAGTTAACCTTATTAATAATACTAAATGCACAGGAGTCTCCCTGATTCTGCCTGAATACATGTTAACGGTGTTATAAAAAAGCAACTGTGTTGAGTTCCCCGGGAATGTTTGCACAGGAGAGCGCATTCAGACAACAAGTAAGTGATTTCTTCTGACATTTGTCTTAAATTTCTCATTAGTTTTATTGTGGAAATTAAATTGCTGCAAAGCACTGTCCATTAATTCCTGATTAGGCCTGAATGGCTGTGCTAATGCAGGCACTGGGCTGTGGTGGGCTGTCAGTTCTTGATGGCAGGTCTCAGGGTGGTCCTGCTTAGGAGTGGGTGTGGGACAGGGTCTCTGGAGAAAGCAGGCTATGCAATGGGACTCAGCAGGACAATGTGTTGGGTCTTTGAAATGGGACCAGGAAGACACCTTCTTCTTTGCCTAGTAAGTCCCACAGAGGCTAGAAGGGGCAGACCCGTGTGATGACTCTATAGTGCTTTCCCCAAAAATATATGGAGGAAAATAGGATGCGGAGCATAATTGTGAGGATTAAGAGTTTTATGCTGGTTGGCTTGGGTTGGAATCTTGGCTTGCCAGATTGTGTGTCCTTGCTAGGGATGTTAATTAGTCACTGCAGGCCTCAGTTTCTCTACTTACAAAAAAGGAAAATAGTATTATTTATAGCATTGGGTGCAAAATGTGTCAATACACAGATAATATTAAGAACAGTGCAAGCCTGTTGTCCTTTATGTAGCAGTTGGAAAGTTAGACTTGGACAGGGACTTTGAGATCAGCTTTTCTAATTCCTAAGCAACGAAACTAAAGCTAGAGAAGGCTAGAGACCCTCAAATTCTCATGGTTAATTCTTGGCAGAAGCAGGAACTAAAACTTGAATTTCTCAACCATGCTAACGTATTTCCATTGTTTTAGGTGCTTAGAGAATGAACAGCAGGTGGGTGAAGAGTGTGACTGCTCAGCTTGTTTTGAAGATACTCTACTACATTAAGGACTTACTGAATCTTTCTCTTTGAAGTTTATAGAAATGATGCTTTATATTTTATTGATTGAAAGCTGATATGGGGAACAGCTGGAAGGTTATAAGTGTATGGTATACATTCATCATATGTTTATAACTTCAGAGTATTTCCCCAGTATTTCTCACCCCTGGGGGAGGAGGTGAGTGTGCTATTCTCCAAGTGTGAGAAGCAATCCCTCTTGTTCCCTGGTCATGCTGAGAAGATTCATGCACATGAAGACTGTTGCACATGTGGCTCGTAGGTACGAATCTCACCAGGCTTCTATTTCTCAGTTACATCCACAACAATCATCACCCCCCCTCGTACTAAGCATTATGCTTAAGAGTTGAAAGAGACTATGTTTCCTCTCAAGCAGAAGCTTTCAGTTTTCTGGAGCTGAGAGTGCTGCATGCTAGGGGAATCCAGACAGGAAAGGAGCCTGTAACCCAGATATCTGAAGGCAGAGTGGTTAGTGCTGGGACTTCTATGCCACCATGAGTTGGTGGGCTCAACTGAGGCACTGAGTATCGGGAACTTCATATGATGATATCCCTAAAATGAAATGTAGGGAGAGACAATCTAACTGAGGAGGTAGCACATGGAAAGATTAAAAGTGGGGACAGTTCACACATTATATTTTTGCAAGCTAAAGTACCAAGGTGAATCACGAAAAGGAACAGATGTAAGACCAGACTGAAAAGAAAGGCAGAGATCTCATTATAGCATGTAGACACTACCCTGAGCGCAGGGGTCAGACTTATCTTGAATTAAGGAACATTTGTAATCATCCAGGGCTCTGATGACGGTTGGAGATGGAAATGTTGTCTTGGGAAAACTCCTCAGTCTGTCAATGGTGATATGAACAACAGTCTTCTGTTTATTAGCCATGAAACGGTCATGTGTTTACATTGCATCAAATTGCAAGAGTGGAAGTGTTATGTAGGGGCAAAGTATTACAAATTTAAAATTCACATTTTTAAGCCATATTCTCTACTTGATGCTTGCCTATGTGGTCTTTTGATTTTATGTTATTCTTTTAAAATTTTAATTCATTTTGATATATAAAAAGATGTCCATATTTAATGAATACATCTCAGTAAGTTTTGGGAAAAATACACACTCACAAAGCCATCACCATAATGTTCATTTAGGCATATAGAATACACATGGCTTTCATGTGACTTACCAGTAAGTAAAGATTTAGACTTACCAATAAGTAAAGAAAATCTAAATGTCAAGAACATTTAAGAATGGAAAAGCTGGAATGGATATTTGTCCAAATATTTTGGGACCCATTATAGTATTGGCTTTCTTTTTAATGAATGATAATGGGTGCCTGGTCACAAGAAGTTGCAACGATTGGCCAAAAAGATGTATATTCTGCTGGCTGTGCTCACTCACCTGCAGCTGTGACTTTCCCGCCAGCTCCTGGTAGGAGGTGGACCTGGGGTCAGCAAGCTCTGCCTTGAACCTCTGGTTTGGCAGAGAGAGGATGAGCTCCACCTTCTGCTCTGGTGCGCTCTCGGAAACATTAGTGAAGTCCATTTCTCTGTCCTGTGTTCAACAAGCAAAAGGTCTTTAATTAATGTAAACCACAAACAAATGGCTGTCTCCTATAACATGCATTGCAAGAAGTAGACTATGCAGGCTCAAGTGCTTTCAGAACAAAAGTCGCACTGATTAGAAGTAGCCTCTGAATTTTAGTGAGAGACAAGATGCCAAAACTCCAAAGAGTTAACTATTCAGAGTCCTTGAGAGTACTGTCATTGTACGAGTGTGTGATTTTCATGAAAAAATTCACATACACACACTCAGATCTCACATCTATCTATCTAATCTATCTAAGCTCTCTCTCTCCTTATCTATTTATAAATATAAATGCTGCTGGTACACTGTGTATCATTGTGGTTGTGCATGACTTTACAAATACTCTTTGTTGAAGACTGGATTAGACAAAGTAAGTTAAAGATGCTGAGATATTATTTAATGGAAGCCTTTTTAGAGAAGAGTCTAGACTGCCTTAATGTGAACACCTGTACTTGAATCTCACATTACAATTAGCTGAACAACATGATGAAGCCAAGAGAGAGGTTGACATTTCTCTCAGACGAAATGGACCACCTTTGGAGTCATGTGGCTGAGAATCAAAGTGTTGTTCCAAGGATATGGATGTAGCCTGGGTCACAAAAAGATGGTGGTCATACTTTTCAACTGAGCAGAGGTCTTGTTGCCCTGAATTCCAGTGGGTTCCCAGCAGAATGTGGAACTGGGTTGCAAATACGTGGTTTGTCAAATTTTTCATCTTGGGTACTCAGATTATATTGGGTTACGTACAGTTTTCTCCAAAATGTAAAAAAATATGTTCACAGAAAATTGAAAGAGTCTCTGGTTATGTGTGTACTCTTATAGTGCAGTTAGCATTCAAGGAGCTGAAAGGGAGAACAGTCAATGAAAACTGCCATGAAGAGCAGAGACACCTGGGTGGTGCTGGGTGTATTTCCTCCGTATTTCTTTTTGTGCCTCTGTCTTCAGCATGGATGACAGCATGCCTCCACTGTTAGTGGGGCATCTGGAGGATGTGGGACCATACGTAACAGGCTACTGATGTTTGTGTAAGATTTTCAGCCACCAATTCAAAACAATGCACACTGAACATCTGCATAGGTATAACAGTTCACATGAACCACTTAGATACATCTTAAAAATGTTTCACTGAGAAATTACTCTCAGCCACTCAGTGCTTTTATTTTATTTTAAAATATTGATTACAGTTAGCATTCTTTGCAGTAGATCACTAAAGCTTACCCTTCACGTCTAAAACTCTGTGAACTTTGGTCAACATTCCTCTGTCCCCATCCATCGTGCCATCCCCAGGCCTGAGTGAGGTGTTGTGTTACTTTATAAAATACATGCTTAAAAACTAGATTCATGTTTGCCCCCAGCAATGCCCTGTTATCTATGGGGAAATACCTCAGCCCTTCCCTGATGTTTATGGCTCTGCATATTCTTATTCCAACCTGATTGAACAATTTTAGTGTCACTTTCCTCATTTCTGATTACCAGAGTCCTCAGACATCACAGTACTTATGTCTCACTGGAGACAACTCCGATTACTCCCTTGCTCCAGTAGTCACACACACACACACACACACACACACACACACACACACACGTGTGTGTGTGCACATGCACACAATCATTCCTCTTACTTCTTACCAGTATTCCATAGTTCATCTAAAATGATCTTTGCTATGACTGTCCAGGCCTGGACCCTCATTGTCCCCTTGGAACTCTTGTGGCACCGACTAACATGAAGGCCTTAGGTGTCTTCCATCACACACTCACTTGCAGTCTCCTTTTCAATTGCAAACCTTGTTGCCTCATGTAATTTTTGTGCTTCACTAAATCTTCCAAAACAAAAACCACAATGCCATTTAGGCCCAGAGCTCTGTGAGTACACAGGACTTAGGATGCACCTTTTGCAGCCTGTCTTGGTTTAGCCTTTTGTCCTGGTCTACACACCTGCTATCTGCAGTCAGAGCACTGAGATGCTTTGTGATGTTCAATGGCATTATAAATTCCTCAAAAGCAGGAACTGTGTTTTGCTCATCCAGTGCTCTTTGGTGCCTTGCCCAATGTCTGGCACATCAGGGGATCTTAGTAAACTGCTTGCTGAATGAAAGAAGAGGTGATAGATGCAGATGGTAAAGAGGGTGTGAAGAGGAGGATGTAATGAATGCCAGGTGACATTTACATGGAAGGATGGGCCTGCATTAGATTTTGAAGGAGCTGGAACATAGGTGATATGACAAAAGGGAAGTCAGACAATCCAATTGAGAAATTTTATAATAATGTATATTGAATTATGGTCAATAGTTTTTTTCCAATGTAACTTTCGTGTTGATAAGGGAGGATTTTTCAGAAAAACTCAATATGCTTCTTCTCTCTTTCACAGCAGTAGTTCAACCAAGACTGTAGTCATGTGGAGTGAAGGACAGACAGTAATTTCTCACGCAGAGATGGTGGGGCTGGACTTGGTACAATTGCCCTGCAGCTGGCTGTGCCTTGGAGGGAGGTGAAGGGAGGGAAAGGGCAGGAGGACATTGTACAGACCAAAAGTACAGCACAGGATGGAAAGACCTGGGTTCTGGCCTGTTATTTCTGGTCACTCTGCTGCCCCAGCTCTACCATCCGTGAATATAATATTGAGGGCAGCATCTCCTTGAGGTAGTGAGTGTGTTGGCTCCAAGCTGATTGAGAAGGTTCATATTTCTGTGTTTTGATCATCGGCATTACAACCTTAACAATGCTTTCATCTGTGCACACCTCTCCACTAGAAGAGGTACCCCGTACTCTTCTGTGTCCTAGTTTTTATTTTTTCCGAGTTTGATGTAAATGATTTTGATCATTCTGAAACCTACTTGACCTATTCACACTGGATATGACTGAAACAAACTTTTGTTTTTAGTCTGGGTTTATAATTCCGTAGAGAAGTTGCTGGTTTATTTGCTCTCATGCTTGCCAGTGCCTGCTATATACATATAGCAGCTTCCATTAGATACATATACAGCTTCCATTAGATACTATGGGAGAGGCCCTGCTTTTTAGCGCTTATAACTAAATGGCCTCTTGTTGTTCCCTCACCTGTTTCTAGTTCTCAACCTATTCTCCCCTCATCCTTAGGGTGACTGAGCATAGTGAGCAGAACAATCACTGGCTTCCTCACAACAGGAATGTGGTGCTGGTCCTACTGACTGTCCAGTCTACCTGTTCTCCTTGTTAGCTGAGAGAATCAAAGAAGGACTATGAAGACCTGGATCAACTCCATTTTTCTCACCATTGTGGGTTTCTTGGTGCCCTTCAGGGAGTCGTTGAGAATTTCGTGGATGTGTGAGTCATCAGGAGAGAGAGGGAAGAACCCAGGTGAGATATTGGTAACAACTGTGGAAATTAATCACAGACACAAAAATAAGAGTAAAGGAGTTGAAAATAGAAGAAAGTTAAAATTCTGTATGATTTTGGAATTTACAGATCTTTTAAATTTTTTTATTTTAAAGAGAATAAAAGAAAAGAAAACAAAATAAAACAGAACAAAGCAAATCAGAACAGAACAATGCAAGCAACACAGCACTTTGCAACAAGACAACAGGACATCAATAGTGGCTACCATAATGTCTCTTGTTTTCTTTGATATAGCTGAACATACCTTCACACACAGTAATATCAAACATTACAAAATAGTATAAAAAAATGAAAGCATTACAGGACTTCAAAGCCAGATAACAGGAAATGAACAATAGCTACTATAATATCTCATTTTCCTCCAAAAAGTAGTCCATACCATCACACATAATAAAATCCAACAAAACACAACAGAATAAAACCAATTAATCAAACAAATGAAAGCACTATAAGACTTCAAAACAAGATAGTAGGAAACCAACCATGATTACCATAATACATCCCATTATGTTCAAAATAGCTGTCTATACCATCAAAGTAAAACCTAACAAAACAAGACAGAACAAAGGCAAACCAAACAAAATGTGAAAGCAATACAAACATTCAAGACAAAACAATAATAAACAAACAGTAGTTACCACCTTTTCCCCCCAGGTGTTTCCTCCCCTATCACTTTTACAATAACTAGTTTGCTTTTGGGATCCCAGTAACCACTCCTGTTTCTTATGCTAGGGTTCATTCATACGAATTCAAACTGTTTCTGTCTTGAACATGATCTCCATTTGCATCCATTTACTACAGGAGCCTTGAGATTTATTCTACTCTATAACTGAGTAGCTTTCCATTATATGAAAACACCATATCTTTCTTATCCATTCTGCAGTTTATGGGCAAGTTACCCTTGCTTTTTTTCTGATCTCCTTTAGCATGGAATAATTTTTTTCTCTCCTTTGAATTTCAGTCTATGAATTTCCTTTCCAGTTAAAGTGTTTCTTTTATATAGCATATTGATGGATCTTGTTTCTTGATCCACTCTCCCTGTGTGTCTGAATGGAGGCTATACACATTAATGATTACAACCAGCATACATTGGTCTGTTCTGCCATGCTATCTTCCTGTTGTTGGCCCTCTACTTTTCCTCTTCATTTAGTTGCCTGTCTGTTTGGTGATCCTCCTCTGCTGCTGTTCCTGGAACCCTAGTCATCTTTATCTCTCTCTGGAAAATCCTACAGCACTCTCTGTAGGGTTGGTTTGGTGGTCATGAATTCCTTCAGCTGTTCTTTAACATGGAAATATATTACTTTCCGATCAATTTTGAAAGATAGTTTTGCAAGGTATATTAATCTGGGTTGGAAATAGTTTTCTTTCAGGCTTTGAAACATTTCACTCCAACTCTTCTTGACTTGATGGTTTGTGTTGACAAGTCGGCCAGGATTTGATGGGTTTTCCTTTAGAGGTGATCTGTTTTTTTTCTCTAAAAGCGTTTACTATTCTATTCTTGTGCTGAATTTCTAGGGTCTTGATAATTATATGTCTGAGTGTAGATTTACTTTGGTTATGGCTAGTTGGAGTTCTATATGCTTCACTTATCTGTATGCCAGATCCTTTTCCCATGTTTGGAAAATTTTCTGCTATTGTTTCTGTAAATAGCCTTTTAATTTCATTTGTGTTGACCCTTGTTTCTTCATTGACACCTATCACTCTTAAATTATGTTTCTTTGCATCATCTTGCAGCAGTTGTTATTTCCTAATTCCTTATTATTTTTAAGAGATCTTTCCTTTCATGATCGCTAGCTGCAATCCTATCTTCAAGATTTGAAAGTCTGTCTTCATTCTCTTTCAAGTGGTTTTGCCAGCATTTGATTGACTTTTTAATTTCCTGTATCTCTCTTTGAATCTATTTCATGCATTGTAATTCCTTTGTATATTCATTCCTGGTTTCCGTCATTTTCCTACACTCCTCTTTTTTAATCTATGTCTTCTTTAGACATGTTGAGCAATTCTTTCATTATGTTTGTGATTTCTTCTTTTACCTGAGACATTATTTCTTTTCTTTTTTTTTTTTTTTTGTCTTTTTCCTTTTTATCGGTACCAGGGATCGAACTCACGACTGCCTGCTTGCAAGGCAGGTGCTTATGCCGCTGAGCTAAATCCCCAGCCCCTGTGACATTATTTCTGATTTGATTGCTTTTACAATCTCATGAAGTTGTTTCTTTACTTAAATTGCTATCCTCTCAAATATTTCAGGTGTGTGACTTCCATTTTCTTCCTGGACTATATCTCCCAGACTTGTTTGGTGTAGGCTGGAGGTCTGAGATTGCCTTTTGCTCCTTCATCTTAACATTCTCCTGGGTTCCTCCCAATAAGACACTTGTAGGGTCCAAGGCACTCCTTATGTTGACTGCCCCTCTGTGGTATAGGGGAATGGGACAGGCACCTGGGTTCCTCTCACCCCAGATTTACATGGAGGTAGCAAGTTGTGGGGTGGAATTTCCCAGACCTGTGTAGCTACACTGGGGCTTTGCCAATGATCAAGGGTGCATGGAAGTGGGACTGCTTCTCTCAGCTTGTGTGCCTACACTGGGACTCCTGCAATGGTGGTAGGCACATGGGTGTGTTTCTCTGAATCTTCCAGTGGGTGATGGCTGTCCAAAGAAACCAAGGGCCTCCAGTAGTGGCCTCCAGGTGCATGGGGATTACTTAGTTGCATGTCCCTGTTCCCTTCAGCTGCCCACAGGAAGGAGTCTTCAGGGAGTGGTGCCTAACAGGTGAAGGTGGATCTGCTGGTTCTCTCTACCCATGCTGGCTGCCCATAGGAGGGGGTCTTAACTTTACTCATCTTAAATGTGGTCTAAAAATCTTTTTAAATAGATCATCTGAATATGTTCTTGAAAAAGATATAAATTTGACTTTCAATCCCAGTCAAATTGTGGCTTCTAGAACTCAAGGTTGGTGCTCTTTATATGGGGCACTGTTTAAGGTGTTTGACAAGTTTATCCTATTTTTGACAATGTAAGGATGAAAAGGCAGGTATTTACTTTGAATTTACTCTTCTGAATGTTTTCTTAGGGTACTATACAAGTCTTTCGAGCTTATTTTGCTTTGGTAATTCTGGAGGCACTAGAATTTTAATCATACAACTCAAGAGATGCAAGAAAATCAAAATGCCATCAATTCTTCCCCTTTCAGAACAGATTATTATAAACCACTTCAGGTCTTGGAAAATATTTTGAAATATTTAAGACCTTGTGAAATGGAAGTGTAGGTTCTATTCAAAGAAAGAAAAAGCATTGTTGTAATAAATATGCATTACGATTTTATAGAAAATTATCATTGAAACATATTTAGGCAAATAATATTATGATTAATTAGTTTATATTTAGCTTGAAGTTGCTTTCTACTTTGGTATTAATTAGGCAAGAACAGAATATGTTAGTTTATTTTTGAACTTTATAATATCAAATATAACAGAGAATCAAATTAATCTTTCACTTTTGCCTGGAAACTAGTAGTGACAAGTAATCACATTTCATTGTGTCTATGAAATAATTTTATTGAGTGTGCAACTGGAGTTCCTAATGGGAGTGTTGGCAGTGGTTAATGGAGTCATCTGCAGGAAGTATTCCTTTTGCTATAGAAAGGATACTTATGATTTTAAATTGACACAAAATATCATACTTGGTTACATGGTACTATGCAGTGTGTTAATACACATATACATTATGCAATGTTCAAATTAAGGTAAATTTAATCTATTTCCTAAAACATTGTTTACTTGTGATCAAAATACTCAAAATCCTTTCTCCTAGTTGTTTTTGAAGTATATAGTAAATTATCGCTGTTTATATAGTTATCTTACTAAGTGACAGAATACCAGAGGAAGGGATTTGGGGGTTAAAAACACAAATCTGTTGGCTTGTCAGCACCTCAGAGGATGTGGTGTTTGGCATCTTTCTCTGCAACTCTGCTACCTGCAGTAAAGATGGCAGGATCTGCACTCAGACATCCTCAGACTACTGCCAATTTAAGGCATCTTCGAGCTTTATTATTCTATGAGTAATCAATTTATACTATTTTTTTTGTAACAACAAAAATAGTTCTTTAGTATACTACAAGAACATTTTTTGTTGTTATTTGGGTATCCTCTTTTATCGCCATGAAGTGCAAAATTATTCAGTCTATTAAAGCTAAGAACAATTATTAGACAGACTAGGTTCATCATCTAATCCATTTAACTCCCTTTGGAGATTTTCTATTCTGTTTTCACATCTCAGGTACCTAGTAATATTTTCTAAAAATAAAATGCTATCTCAGGAAATTTATAACTGAAAAATTCAGTTGCAGTAAATGACTGTCTCTTTTTAATATTCCTGAGTATTGCATTTACATTTGATGAAATTAAGGTTTAGCTCCAAGATGGGGAAAGTTTCATTTTTGAATTCCAAACTTATATATTCAAATTTCACTGCAACTGAAAAAATTATTAATAATAGTGATAGACAGGATTGGGGTAGAAAGTGAGGGTTAGTGGAAGAAATACTTTTCTTCGGAGTAAAGTATTCAAAATATCCATAAATTTTCAGTTAAAAAGCTTTTCCATGCTCTTTCTGTGTAAGATCACCACAGATGCCAAGTCTCTGGTAGGCACAATGAAACTTGTTAGGGTCTGGCTGAACTTTTTGAATTACATTTTGGAAATAATGTAACTACAGAAGAATCTGTGCACAGACTTTGTCTTTGGGTATTCAGGAGTATGGGGAACATAAATTAAAACATTCATTGCTGGAACTCAAAGTTATTCCAATGATAGATTTTACTATATCATATCATTTGTCTACTGATATCTGAAAGTTTTTGTAAATTAGAACAAGCAATAGTTAATGAGAAGTTAACTTGCTTTTTGGTTTATCCTACTGAATTGAATTTTATTGCAAAAGTTCTAATCAGCTAAATTATATGATTTTAAACTTTTAAAATAG